TCCACAGGGTAAGCCCAGATGACATGTGTGTCGGTGGCGAGCCAGGGAGGGAAGTGAGAAGGAGAAGGCCTTTTCAGAAGGCTCGGAAGTCCCCTGGCCTTCCGAGAAGTTTTCTAAGCCTTCCCCGAAGACACCGCAAAAATGTCAGAAGGCGCGAGGGGTTTCTGAGAAGTCTGGCCGCCTTCTACGAAGGCCTTCTCCTTCTCAGTTCCCCCCCTCGCTTGCCGCCGTCGGTTGCTTGCGAACTGACTCGACGGGGTCAGTGTCCCCGAAGTGCTTAGCGCGCAGCTAGTAGCGCGCACCGGGGTCAGGCATCCTCCTGGCCTTGGGCCTGCAGCAGCGCGAGCAGCCTGGCGTCGAAGTCGCAGCAACCCATGTTGCGGCATGCCCTGCCGCTGGTGCCCGCAGGTGCCCCGCGGGGAGCGGTTCTCTATGATGCGCGGGCTATCTTGCGTAGTTTGGTTGTGCTGCGTAATTTGGCAATTGCTGCAGATTGACGAGAGGCCTTGTGCATACGATCCCTGGCTGTGACACGAGTTCTCGCGCGACCAGCTGCGACATCTGCGCCCAAGTCGACAGCCGTGCGCTCCGCCTTGGCAGGTACACCTTGTCGGCGAATACCTTTGACCACCTCGTGAGTGATTATGATGGCGTAGTAACCACCAGTGTCTTGTCTGAGATAATGAGCTCGATTTCCTTCTAATTCTGGCCGAGAAAAAAACCCTTGCACAGACCAGGGTGGAAGAGACTGACGCCATGGTCCCATCCGCTCGGATAATAGTGTCGTCGATGAACGTCCTCATCATGATGGTGCGCGCGTAACGCTTGCGCGCAGCTTGGAGGAGAGGTCCTAAAAGTACCTTCGCCAACTCACCACCATCTGGGGAGCCAGCTACCAGCGAACGAGTCGGCTTGATGTCAAGATGATTTGCGTCAATCCTGCCTTGCATAGGACTGTGATGGAAGTGCTATCGTGGGAGTGCTCCGAGTCCAGCGAAATGGCGCTGTTGGAGAGTTCCATCGCATGGCAACATTCGTCCATGCAGCGTCGTATGAGGGATCTTTGTGGGGCGCTCGAATTCTCGGACTACCGTGCCCCAGAATTCCGCAAGGCCCTCGCTCCAACCTTCTGGAAGAGGGTACCGAGTTTTAGACCCCGGCGTCATGAAGAAATGTAGCTGGCCCAAGATCATATCGCCGCCGTTTGGTGTCGGTGCGACTGCGCCCAGGACAGCGTATACCCCGGGCGGCCTCCACATGGCCGTAGATGTCGACCAGTTCCTGACGCGCGGGACTGGATCTCGATCGGTCGGGTAGCGCCTATACCTGCGGCGTTGTTTTTGCGCCCGTCCGAAAGATTGTCTGGTCCAGCTGCTCAAGGGTTATAGATTCCGCATCCTCCTGCCTGGCGCAACTCGAGAGCATCTCCAACCCTTGGGTAAGATTCTCCTGAGATGAGTGCTGGTCGGTGCAGATATTCTCCCAGTAGTCGGCCCGCTGATCCATGATGACGCTCGGTGTAACATATATGTTCCCCGCTTCGTCGTAGCGCTCATCGCGCACCGGGTGGTTCTCGCCGCATCCGAAGAGCCCATTGGGTCAACGTTCGGCGACCGTCGACCGTCGGCAAGTGCCTTACCATCCGCTCTGGCTTTGAGCTTCTCAGCGGCCTCAAGGATGGCGGGGATGTCATCCGCCAGCTGCTGATCCAGGGCGGAGACGGCTGCGCCCCATGAATCGAACAGGCCCTCGGGTCATTGCTGAAGTGGCTTCTGCAGCTCATGATCCAGCGCTGCTTGCAGCAGCCTCGACGGTTTTGGCACGGAACCCGGCGGCCTCGTGAAGGGACTGGGGCTCCATGACCAGCTCGCATCTGGCCAGTAGCGCGGTGGCCAAGTGCCACCATTCCAGCAGCTGGCGTCGCATGTGGGCGCGCGCCGGCGTGGCGCTGGACTTGTTGCGAGAGATGGTGCTGGCCAAGGCCTCTCCCACAATGCGGCTCCCTCTTGCCTCCAGGAACTTGACGACGCTCAGCAGCGGCGTCTCGACCGCAGAGATTTACCCGTCATGATTTTTGCCCATGTCCTCCTGAGTCGTGGGGCTGCGGTCGAGCAGGAAGTGGCTGGCCAAGGTGGAGATGTCGAGGTGCCCATCTGCAGAGAACAGCAATTCTCGTAGCTATGCCTGTGGGGTCGCGTCGCTGAGCTGGCTCCACCCCATCTCCCCCCGGCAGTGTCGGCCCACCGCCTGGATCAACGAGCTTTTTTCACTACTCGCAAAGTACCTAGATCCCCCTCGCTGGATCCAGGCGAATTGCGAGCAGTTGCTTTGCGAGTAGTGGAGCGCGTTTGTCTACAGGATGAGCAAACGGAACATCTCCACCGCGAGCGGCACGGACGTCGCGATCCGCAGCAGAGGAAGCTTGGGCTATGTGGTCGCAGTGCCGCGGAGGGACCCCCCTCTCTCGCACAGGCTGGGAGACCCCGCCTGAACAAGCCTCGGATACAGTCAACCCGCATAGTAAGAATGAGCAGCCTTCCCAAGATTACCCTTGCATCATTGCCCCTTCGCGGAAGGGGCAATGATGTAAGGGTCCAGCTACAAGGGGGCGATGCAGCTAAAAGGGGGTCCAGCTACAACGGGGTGGTGCAATAGATTTGGTGCAACGGATTTGTGGGTTGCAATTGGATTCGGGGCGTACAATACATTCCGGGGCGCAAGTGTTTGCTGAAATTTCGCGTGCAATACATTAGTTGCAATACAATGCAATACAATTCTCTGGCGCAAGAAATGTGCAATACAATTGCCCCAAATCTATTGCACCGCACCACCCCCTTTCAGCTGGACCCCTTTTTGGGTCTCGGCCCTCCTCAGCGACTTTCGCTGGCCAACCTCGTTCGAAGCACGTTGACTTGGTTCTCCAAGGCCCTTGCATCCTTACCGCGCATCCTTATGATACGGGTTGGCTCCCCTCGGCGAGCAGGGCCTACGGGGCGAGGGTCCTACTGGGTCGCCGAGGGGGCTCCGCAGGCTATCTGTGACGCCGTGCTCGCAGTAGCCGTGGTAAGCCACCCCCATGTGGTCGTGCTCTGTCTCCACGTCCCTCTCGTCTTCCAGGGTCTGGCCCATGGGGTTGCTGTGGGCAAAGGGTCAGGCGAAGAAGAAAAAACGCCATAAACATAAACTTTTGGCGCTCCGCGCGGATTTCTTGGATCCGCGATGGTCCTCCCCTCCTTGGCGCGCGGAGCGCGCCACGGGCGGCGCCGGAGGCGTGCCGCCGCCAAGCCCAACAAAGATTGCACCGACATTAGTGGCCGTGGTCGAATCATCGCGAAGCCCGCGTACCTGGTGCCACGATGAAGCGGTATAAAAAGTGTACTGTGGAATTTGGTTCCTTCTCGTCCGTGTAGTGGCACAGCTGGTCGTAAACCTGCAGTCACTCGTCGAGTGCGGCCCGTCGCTTAGTTTGAGATCTCAGTGTATTCTGCCGCTTGCCTTCAGGATCTTTTCGGAGCTTCGGCCGCGCCACTGTAGAGAGCTCAGCTGGTTTAGCGATGGCACGATTCCACAATTTCTTCTGGCACATAAGGATATGTCCAAACCCACGTCAGTCTGCCAAGGGACCTCTGAGATCGCTTGCAGCTTGATTGTGTGCCTGAAGTCACCTCTGACGATGCGACCCTCGGCCCAAGTTGCACATGGCCACGCAAACGAGGTTCCCAGCATCCGTGTGCCAGGTAGCTGGGCAGACACCCTCGAAGGGTCGTTCTTGGTGAGGCGGCTAATCTCTGGTTTCCCTCATCCTTCGAAGGAGGTGGTGGCGAGGGTCTTCTTACAAATGATGGCCTCACCACCTGTGTTGCCCAACTCCGACCGCCCCGCCAAAGTAGCTGGCGTAGCTGCAACGTTCCATGCATCGTTTGACATGTCACTGACCATGTTGTCCAGCTTGGCACCTCGAAGATGCGTCCTTGCGAAGCCCAACAAGTCGTACTCCTCACCCTGTGCCCTCATGGAGGAGACAAGGATATGGAGGGCGAAGAGATGGAAGAAGAGGAGGAGCAGCAGGCTGCGGCGGCGGTGGCTGGGGAAAGAAGGAGGATAAGGTGAAAGAGGGGGAAGAGGGTCCTCCTCCCCCCTCCTTCTCCTCCTCCTCCTTCTCCTACTCCCCCATTCTGCTTTTGCCCACCCCATACTCCTCCTGCTTTTGCCCACCTCATACTCCTGGTCCTGGCCCCCTCCTGCTATTGTCGACCCTCCTGTCCTCCAGGATACCCCCCCCCAACAAAAATTCAGGAGGCGCCCTCCTCCCGCATCCAAAGTGTCCGTCCTCTCCTCCCCCCTAATTTGTGCCATTGGGAGGTCAGCAGGCTGTTTGACGGCAGTGTCCTTATCCGTCTCCCCCTCCTCATTTATTATTGTTTCCTCTCCGTGATCATCTCTCCTTCCTCCCCTCCTCTCTCCATCCGTCCACTCTCCCACGTCCTCCCCCTAGAGAGCCCACGCACCTCCTGCCATCTCACCCCTCCCTCCTCCCGCCTCTTCTTCTGCCTGCCCCTCCCCCTTCCTCCCCTCACCCATCTTTCCCATCCCTCGCCTCGCTCATCCCCCAGAGCCCCGTCGCCTCGATTTGTTCAATACGTCGACACCCAGCAGTCTCGACCACATTGCCCAGGACCAGCTTCTCATCCTGAGTCGTGTTCGACGGCCCCTGGCCCCGGCGAGGGCGCCCAGAGCCCGAACATGTCCCCAAGCGCTCCCGTCGCGGTTCTGTCACAACGCGAGAGAAGGTTGGGGTCCTTCTCCCCATTCCCTTCCCCCCTTCCCCCCCTTCCCCCCTTCCCCCCCTCCCCCCCTTCCCCCCCCTCCCCCATTGCCCCCTCCTTCACACCCTCCCCTCCCCCCCTTTCATCCCCCTCCCCTTCCCCCCCCCCCCCTTCCCTTCGCGGCTCGCGAGCGCCCAGCGCGGCCAGAAAAAAAAAAAGCGCCCGCCCGCCGAGGCGAGGGGCCCTCTCCCGAGCAGGCCCGCCGGCTGGAGCAGACCCGGGCGGAGAGCGACCAGGCCCGCGAGGAGCCCATCCGCTGGCCCGGGCCCCCTCGTCGGCCCCCGTCGGCGCGTGGTTCCTTCCCCCCCCCCCCCCTCCCCCTCCCCCCCCCCCTTCCTTCGTCTCCCCCTCCCTTCCCTCCTCCCCTCCTCCCCTCCTCCCATCCTCCCTCCCCCTCCTCCTCGTCCTCCCCTTCCCGCCCTCCCCTTCCTCCTCTCCTTGCCATCTCCCGTCTTCCTCCCCCGTCCTCCCCCTCCGCCCCTGCCTCTCCCCCCCTCCTCTACAATTACTCAATATGAAAATACTCTCCCTCTTCCCCTGATGGCGTCCGGGTGATGGCCGCGCACCCTCCGCGTACTGTTTTTTACACACAGGATCCCCGGGAAATCCCGGGAAACGACTCTCGCTGAGGCGCCGGCGTCATTGTTTCCCAAAATGCTGCTCTCGTTGAGGCGCCGGCCTCATTTCTGCTCCCGAATCGTTCCGAATCGTGCTCCCGCTGCAGCGTGGGCCTCATTTTCGGATCGGTGTTTGGCCTCCGTCGTTCAGGATGGCGTTCTCGCCCCAGCGCGGGCCTTTTTCTCGCGCGCCCATCCGCCCGCCACCACCGCGCCGCACCGCCACCACCACCACCACCACCACCACCACCACCACCACCACCACCACCACCACCAGCACCAGCACCAGTACCAACACACCACCACCAGCACCACCACCACCACCAGCACCACCACCACCACCATCACCACCACCACCACCACCACCACCACCACCACCACCACCACCACCACCACCACCACCACCACACACCACGCACACACGCACGCACGCACGCACGTGCACCACCACCCACTACGCACGCGCGCGCGGAGCCACAGGTCCGCTACGACACGCGTCCGCGGATAGAGAAAATCAGCGCCATGGTAAGGGATGGGAGGGAGCGGTAGGACGTCAGATATGACGCGAGCGCACCTAGCTTGTCCTCCCCCCTCTTCCTCCTCCTTCGCCTCCCACGCGAAAAAAGTAAGGACCCAGGCGAGCACAGGGAGCCGACCCCGTCGCCGCAGGCGCACCACCGCATGCTGCTGCTGCCGCCGATGCTGAAGAACCCGCCCCCTCTTGGTGAGCGTCGCTCCCCCCTCCCCTTCCTTCCCCCTCGGTCCTGAATGGCGTTCTGTACTGCACCACTTGTGGGCCCCTTGCGGTCCAAAGTCTCCGCGGGCTCCGTGTGGCCTGTGATCCTCCTACCAAGAAGGCTAAGGAGGCCTTGAATCGACCGTCCCGTGGGCTCCCGCCCAACTCCGGAATGTCGTTCCCGCGCGAGCGATTGTGATAGGGGCGGCCGAGCCAGCATTCGGGCACCGCGCTTCCGCCATAGCGCCATAGCTCCGCCCTCTGGCTCTTTCTCCGCCGCGCCCCGCCTCGAGCGGCAGGGCGCCGCCTTCGCGCGCCTGGGCCCCTCCTGGAGGTTCTCGCGCGTGCTCTCGTCGGTCCTCGGCGGTCCTCCGGCCCCGGGGCGCGCTCCAGCGGCTGCGCCTCGGGCCCGGGCCTCGTCGCGCCGCGCGCAGAAGGGCCTGGGCCGTCCAGGGGGCTTGCGCGCGCGTTCTCGGGGGTCCTCCGGCCCCGGGACGCGTTCCAGTAAGGAGGGGCCCAAGCCTCCTCGCGCCGCGAGCGGAGGGACCGCGGGCCCTGCCCTCTGGGGCATCGACGGGGCTGCCTCCGCACAAGCCGACGCCCGAAGGAAGTCGGCCCTTCCAGCCACTTCCTTCTGAAGCATGCGCAGTCCGACCGCCGCGTTGCAGTGGTCGCAGCGGCAGCGTCGTCCAGCGGCCATGGCGTGACCGCAGCGGCCATCCCGCACGCTACCAACGGCCGCTAGACACTGGTGGTGTCGCAATGCCATCGCCTGCTAGCTCACGCCGCCGCAGCAGCAGTTCCGTTGGCAGTGTGGTGACAGCAACGGATGGCAGCAGCCTCCCTGGCAGCACGGCGACCACTTGCTGTCTGCCAAATGCACGACGACCGCCTTTGCCTGCGCTCTGCATGGACCAAAGCGTTATGTTTGGCCAAGGCGGTGGCACACCGCCCTGGCCGCAGCGGCGGCGCATCCACGGTCCACAGCCACTGCCACAGACGCTGCAGCAGCAACAGAACCAGCAGCAAGTGGAGCCGCAACCGCAGCACAACCACCTGGAGCTAAAGCTGAGCAGATGTTGGACAGGCTACAGCAGGTCAACAAGCTGGAGCAACTGGTGAACGAATTGGCAGAAAGGTTGGCGATCCGGAAGAAGAACGAGCACTTAACGGAGCAGTTGGCCAAGGACGATTGGATGCGGTTGAACCACAGCGACTGGATGTGCAGGTGACGGTGCGAGGGAGGAAAAGGCCGCAGTGGCGTTCTCTTTCGCGCGACCCCGCGCAGAACGAAAGTTTGCGGGCTTGCGCAGCAAAAAAGGAACGGTTACCTCCTTGCTTGTTCCGTCCCTTGTGTTGTTGATTATCCCTCTCTCCTCTTCGTCCTCCTCCCCCTTCCCTTTTTCTTTTGTTGTTGTTTGTTTTCTCCCTCTCTCTCTCACTCTCTCCAGTGATGTATCTGTGTTGTTCTCTGTCTCTCTCTCTCTCTTTCTCCACCTCTCTCTCTCTTTCTCTCGCTCTCTCCCTCTCTCTCTCTCTCTGTCTCTCCCTCTCACCCTCTCTCCATCCCTCCTTTCTCCCTCTCTCTCGCAAACTCTCTCTCTCTCTCTCTCCCCCTGTATGCCTGCGTGCCTGTCTCTCTGTATGAGTGTTCTTGTTGTGTGTTGTCTGTGTTATCTCTCTCTCTCTCTCTCGCTTCCTCTCCCGTTATTCGTGCTTATCTATGTATATTTGCAGATATGTTTCCCTCCCTCTCCCTCTCTCTATCTCTCTCACACTCTCTCTCCCTCTGTCTCACTCTCTCTCTCTCTCTCGCTCGTTCCGTGTTTCTCGGTTGTTTATGTCTCTATCTCTCTCACTCTCTCGATTTCTCTCTGCCTCTCCCTCTCTCTCTCTCTCTCTCTTGCTCACTCTCTCTCTCTCTCTCGTTCTCTGTCTCTCTCTCTCTCTCTCTGTGTAGTTCTCCTTAAACATATCCTCTCCATTATCTGTCTCTCTCTCTCTCTCTCTCTTTCTCTCTCTCCCTTTCTCACTCTCTCTCACTCTCTCTCTCTCTCTCTCCCTCTATCTCTCTTTCTCGCTCTCTCTCTCTCTCTCTTTCTGTTCTCTCTCTCTCTCTCTCTTTCTTTGTTTGTTTCTCTCTCTCTCTCTCTAGATATATGTATATATACCCATGTGCACATGCGCACGATTCTCTCGTAGTCGATATCTCTAGTTCTCTCTCTCTCTCTCTCTAGAGAGAGAGCGCCCCGCGTCTCCTCCTTCCTCCCCTCCTCCTCCCTTCTCCCATCCCCGCCTCTGCCCTCCGCAAATCCATTTCGGCACACCCCTCACGCGAGTCGTGGCCCTATTGGGAGTTGCACCGGAGGCCCCAGTGACAGCGCCCGCATGGCACCACCGCACCCGTTTCGGCACACCCCTCATTCGTTTCGTGGCCCAATTGGGAGCTCCACCGAAGGTCCCAGTGGCTGCGCCCGCATGTCACCACCGCACACGTTTCGGCACTCCTCTCACACGTTTCGGTGCCCCCCCATCAGGCCCCAGAGGCAGCGCCCGCATAGCACCACCGCGCCCGCTTCGGCACACCCCTCACACGCTTCGGGGCCCCAGAAGGAGCTCCACCGAAGGCACTAGTGGCAGCGCCCGCATGGCACCACCGCGCTCGTTTCGGTACACCCCTCACACGTTTCGTGGCCCCACAGGGAGCTCCACCGAAGAGGATACGCACCACCGCGGTATTCACAACTGCATCTGATTGGGTTGAGTGCCAGGATACTGTGTGTCTTTCTCTCTCTCTCTCTCTCTCCCTCTTGTGTTTATTGTTTTTCTCTCTATCTCTCTCTCTCTCTCTCTCTCTCTCTTTCTCTCTGTATAGTTCCTCTCTCCCTCTCTCATATTATTTGTTTATCTCTCTCTTTCTCTTTATCCCTCTCTCTATATATATAGATATATATATATATATATATACATGTTTGTGTATGTGTCTGTTTCTCTCTCTCTCTCTGTCAATTCTTTTTGTTCTCTCTCTCTCTCTCTCTGTCTCCCTCTCTTTCTCTCTCTCTCTCTATCTCTCTCTCTCTATGTATATTACCGTTGTGCTGTCTCTCTCTCTCTCTCTCTATGTTCGGCTTTCCAGATGAATAGACAGATATACATATAGCCCCCCCCCCCAGCACCCACTGATTTTCATCGCGGTTCGCGCTGATCGCACTCGCATTTTCTTTACTGCCAGATTCGGTTCTCGCCCTGAGACGGCGGCATCGAATAATGAACGTCATCTGGAGAGCCAACCACTTGATCCTGCATCTCCTTCCCCTCTTTCACCTCGTCCATCCTCCTCCTCCTCCTCCTCCTCCGCCTCCTCCTCCTCCTCCTCCTCCTCCTCCTCCTCCTCCTCCTCCTCCTCCTCCTCCTCTTCCTCCTCCTCAACCTCAGAAGATGCAAGCGTCCGCTTCCCCCGCCTTTGGGAGAACAGGTATAAGATATCAGCGGCAGCGCTAACAAGAACGATAAGCGAACCATATGATTTCTCAGGCATTCCAGGGATGCACAGGGATGCTAAGTGACGATCGCTGTGCAGGCTCAGGGATCCCAGGGATTCCAGGGATGCGAAGTCACGATCCCTGAGCAGGCTCAGGGACCCCAGGGCTTCCAGGGATGCGAAGTCACGATCCCTGTGCAGGCTCAGGGATCCCAGGGATCCCAGGGATTCCTAACCCTCCAGCAAAACCGACCTGGGGATCCACCAGCGATCCCGCGCTCAGAATCCCTGGGATCCCTGAGCCTGCTCAGGGATCGCGACGTCGGTGGTCAGCAAACCATATGATTTCTCAGGGATCCCAGGGATTCCAAGGATGGCAAGTCACGATCCCTGAGCAGGCTCAGGGATCCCAGGGATTCCAGGGATGCGAAGTCACGATCCCTGTGCAGGCTCAGGGATCCCAGGGATCCCAGGGATTCCTAATCCTCCAGCAAAACCGACCTGGGGATCCACCAGCGATCCCGCGCTCAGAATCCCTGGGATCCCTGAGCCTGCTCAGGGATCGCGACGTCGGTGGTCAGCAAACCATATGATGCCTCAGGGATCCCAGGGATTCCAGGGATGCCAAGTCACGATCCCTGAGCAGGCTCAGGGATCCCCAGGGATTCCAGGGATGCGACGTCACCATCCCTGTGCAGGCTCAGGGATCCCAGGGATCCCAGGGATTCCTGACCCTCCAGCAAAATCGGCCTGGCGACTTCGCAAAGATTTGGGGGGTTGGGAATCCCTGGGATCCCTGGGATCCCTGAGCCTGCACAGGGATCGTGACTTCGCATCCCTGGAATCCCTGGGATCCCTGAGCCTGCTCAGGGATCGTGACTTCGCATCCCTGGAATCCCTGGGATCCCTGAGAAATCATATGGTTTGCTGACAACCGACGTCGCGATCCCTGTGCGGGCTCAGGGATCCCAGGGATTCTGAGCGCGGGATCGCTGGTGGATCCCCAGGTCGGTTTTGCTGGAGGGTTTGGAATCCGTGGGATCCCTGGGATCCCTGAGCCTGCACAAGGATCGTGACTTCGCATCCCTGGAATCCCTGGGATCCCTGAGCCTGCTCAGGGATCGTGACTTGGCATCCCTGGAATCCCTGGGATCCCTGAGACATCATATGGTTTGCTGACCACCGACGTCGCGATCCCTGAGCAGGCTCAGGGATCCCAGGGGTTCTGAGCGCGGGATCGCTGGTGGATCCCCAGGTCGGTTTTGCTGGAGGATTAGGAATCCCTGGGATCCCTGGGATCCCTGAGCCTGCACAGGGATCGTGACTTCGCATCCCTGGAATCCCTGGGGTCCCTGAGCCTGCTCAGGGATCGTGACTTCGCATCCCTGGAATCCCTGGGATCCCTGAGCCTGCACAGCGATCGTCACTTAGCATCCCTGTGCATCCCTGGAATGCCTGAGAAATCATATGGTTCGCTTATCGTTCTTGTTAGCGCTGCCGCCGATATCTTATACCTGTTCTCCCAAAGGCGGGGGAAGCGGACGCGTGCATCTTCTGAGGCTGCGTTAGAAAAAACATTCCGCTTGCAACACGTGACTCGGGAAGAGGAACGGAAAGGAGCAGGGATGATGAGAAGAGGATGCGTCTCCAGCTTCGTGGAAGAGGGTGAAGGCGTAGAGTGGGTGCTGGCGGGGGGGCTGTCCATACATATATATATATATATATATATATATATATATGTGTGTGTGTGTGTAGAATATAGACGTCTCTCTCTTTCTCTCCCTCTCTTTCTATATATCGGAGGTGTGGGGGTGAGATCGAACTGGAACGGGTAGCCCCCCTACCGGGAAATCGGTTTCGGTTTCGTGTTCGTGCGTGCCGTGCATGCGGGCGAGGCGAAGCTGCGGGCGAGAAATGTCCCGCCTCTGGCTGAGGCGCGGCCGGCCCAAAAGTCTCCCTTCCGGCAACCGGTGCCGCGCGGTGTCCCGCCGGTGTCCCGTCGGTGTCCCGATAATGATGATGATGATGACGATGATGATGATGATGACGATGTTGATGATGATGATGGCCATGGTGGTTAGGATGATGGTGTCCCGATGATGATGATGATGATGATGATGATGTTGATGATGCTGATGTTGTTGATGATGTTGATTATGTTGATGATGACGATGATGTTGATGATCCTGATGATGTTGATCATGATGAGATGATGATGATGATGATGATGATGATGGTGTCCTGATGGTGATGATGATGAGGTTGATGATGATGCTGTTGGTGATGATGATGGTGATGATGATGGTGTCCCGATGATGATGATGTTGATGATGGTGATGAGATTGATGATGGTGCCCCGATGATTATGATGATGTTGATGATGAGGATGATGATGAGGTGATGATGTTGGTTTTGATGGTGGTGGGCCGATGATCATGCTGCTGATGTTGATGATGATGATGATGGTGTCGTGGTGCTGATTATGATGATGATGACGATGATGATGATGTCCCGGTGATGATGACGATGATGTTGTTGGAGCTGTTGATGATAATGATGATGGTGTCCCGGTGATGAGTATGTTGATGATGCTGTTCATGATGAGGATGAAGAGATAATGATGATGATGATGATGATGATGATGGTGGTGTCCCGATGTTGTTGATGATGATGATGGTGTCTCGATGATTTTGATGATGGTGGTCCGATGATGTTGATGATGACGTTGCTGATGATGATGGTGTCCCGATGATGATGATGATGGTGATGATGATGGTAACGGTGATGATGGTGGTGATGATGTGATGCTGAGATAATGATGATGATGGTGCCCCGATGATGATGATGGTGTTGACGATGTTGCTCATGATGATGGTGATGAGATGATGATGATGATGACGATGGTGGTGTTCCGATGGTGTTGATGATGATGGTGTCCTGATGATGATGTTGATGATGATGATGGTGACGATGATGGTGTCCCGATGATGTTGGTGATGGTGATGACGATGATGATGTTGATGATGATGAGGTGATGGTGATGGTGTCCCGGTGATGATGATGATGATGTTGACGATGTTGATGAAGATGATGTCGATAATTTTGATGATGACATTGGTTGTGAGATCGATTATGATATCGATAGTGATATCGATAGTGAGACCGAATGTGAGATATAATGTGGGATCGATAGTGAAATCGATAGTGAGATCGATTGTGAGATCGATAGTCATATCGATTGTGAGATCGAACGAGTGAAGTAGATCGAGTGATATCGATTGTGAGATCGATCGAGTGAGATCGATCGAGCGAGACCGATAGTGAGATCGATCGTAAAATCGATAGCGAGACCGATCGAGTGAGACGTTGGTTCTTCCCCCCCCGAACCTCCTTATCAACCGAAGGGTGGTCGTATAGGTGTGTGTGTATATATATATATATATATGTCATTAGATGTTTCTCTTTCATGCGAATGCCATTGCAGACAAACGGGCGAGCCCACAACCTCAAAATGAGGGTCTGCCGTGCGAACTTGCAATCTGGCAGTGGTTGTTTGCAGGGATATTCAAATCCCGTACTAGAAAAAACCGGGTTAATGGATTACCCCACCCTGTTAACGCGTTCGCACTTGCTTGCGCCAGACGCTCCCTCAAGGACTACGCCGAGCCCGCCGAGGTCATCTCGGCCGCGATGAAGCAGGCGCGAACGTCGATGGGGGCAGGACCACGAAAATCGAAGCAGAAACATCACAATAAACACAAAACTTTCGGCGTTCCGCGCTTTTTTCTTGGATCCGCGCTGGGCCCCCGCCCCCCCCGGCGGCGCCTCCGGCGCCGCCCCTGGCACGCTCCGCGCGCCAGGGAGGGGGGCCCAGCGCGGATCCAAGAAATCTGCGCCGAGAGCCAAACGTTTATAGTGGTTTCTCTTTCTCTCGAAAAGGATCCATACCCCCTCGCGTCGTCGTCAAACCGCAAATCTGCCTCTGGGGCGCCTTGCAGGGCCCTGAACCCGTCGAAAAAACTGCTCGGGATGAAAAGCCAGTCCTGGGGAATAGGTCGAGACGCCTGGGGGTCGACGGCGTATAGAAAAATACCCTGGCGAAGGACCCAACCATATGCAGTTATGAGTACCATCATTGCGAGTATCGCATTCGGGGGATCTACTCATGGGGCCATGAAGCATGCGAAGGGTGTGCCGATATGGGGCAGGGTCGCCATATGGGCGCTGCCATTGGGGCTTTAGGTGGAACCCATTATGGGGCCGCGAAGCGTGCGACGGGCGCGCGGCAATGGGGCGGGGCCGCCACTGGGGCCTTCGATGGAGCTCACTATGGGGCCACGAAGCGCTGTACGGAGAAGGAGAGACGCATGCGGACACCGCCACTGGGGCCTTCGGTGGAGCTCCCCTTGGGGCCACGAAACGCTGTACTGAGTGAGGGAGACGCATGTGAACGTCGCCACTGCGACCTTCGGTGCAGCTCCCATTGGGGCCACGAAACGTTGTACTGGGGCAGGGAAACGCATGCGGACAACGCCTTTGGGGCCTTCGGTGGAATTCCTATGGGGCCACGAAGCGCTGTGCTGGGGGTGGGGGCGGGGGGACGTATTCGGACACCGCCATTGGGGCGCTCGGTGGAGCTCCTTACGGGACCACGAAGCGGTATATTGGATGGAGGAAACGCATGCGAACACCGCCGTTGGGGTTTTCGGTGCCGTTCCCGAAGAGGGCACGAAACGCTGTATTGGGTGGGAGGAACGCATGCGGAAACCGCCATTTGGGCTTTCGGTGGAGCTCCCCATGGGGCCACGAAGCATTGTTCTAGGTGGGGGAAGCGCATGCGGACACCGCCACTGGGGCCGTCGGTGGAGTTCCCGATGGGGCCACAAAGCGGTGTATTGGGTGGGAGAACGCATGTGGACACCGCCATTGGGGCCTTCGGTGGAGCTCTCTATGGGAACACGAGACGCCACTGGGGCTTTCGGTGGAGCTCCCTATGGAGCCACGAAGCGCTGTACTGATTGGAGGGAACGCATACAGGCACCGCCATTGGGGCTCCCTTTGGGGCCACAAAACGCAACGGCATGCCAAAATGGAGGGAGGGACATGCGAACCATGCCAGTGGGGCCTTCGGTAGAGCTCCCTGCGGGGCCACGACACGTGTGAGGGGTGTGCCAAAGTGGAGGGGGGCGGCATGCGAACCATGCCAATGGGGCCTTCGTTGGAGCTCCATATGGGGCCACGAAACTTGTGATGGGTGTGCCAATATGAGGGGGTGATGGGAGGAGGGAGGAGGGAAGAGGAGGGAGAAGTGGGAGGAGTAGGAGGAAAGGAGGCGAGACGCGAGGCACCGTCTTTTCAAAACGAAGACCCAACACCACAGGATAGTTGGGTATCGCATGCGAGGGCAGCCACTGGGGCCGTCGGTGGAGCTCCCAATGGGGCCACGAAACGCTGTACTGGGGGTGGGGGAAACGCATGCGAGTGCAGCCACTGAGGCCTTCGGTGGAGCTCCCCATGGGCGCACGAAACGTTGTACTGGATGGGGGAGACGCATACTGATGAGGGCAGAGGCAAGAAGGGGGAGGAGGGAGGAGGGAAGGGGGGGAGGAGACGGGAGGTGAGGGACGCGGGGCGCTGTCTCTTCAAAACGAGGGCCCAACACCACAGGATGGTTGGGAAAAAAGGGCAGCAGCGTGGAATGGGGATTCCCCGCTGCAATGTCCCGGCGGAGAACCGCATGCAGCGCGTCTTCCTCCTTTTTGTTCTCCTCCGCCGTCACGTCCTCCTGGCCATTCATCTTCCCATCGTGCCATTGGGTGTCCTCCTCCACCGGCACCTGCTCCTGCAACCCCCTGGAACACCGCCACCGTTGCATCATCATCGTCGTCCTCCTCATTCTCCTGGCAGTCCTGCCAACCTCCTCTTCCCGCTCCCTCTCTTCCTCCTCTTCCTCTCTCTCCCCCTCCTACTCTTCCTCGTGCTCCTGCACCTCCTGCCCCTCCTCCTCCTCCTCATCCTCCTCCCCATCCTCCTGCACCTCATCCCCTCCTCCTCCTCGTGAACCAGAGGCCGCTGACGCGCCACCTTCCGCGGGCAGCTCACGCGCGAGTGCCCGCGCTATCGACCACAAGAAAAATTGGCACGAGGACACGGTGACCTTCCGCGGTGGCTCACGCAAGCCGTTCGCACGGCAGACAGAGTGAACAAGAGGGCGCATACGCGCCACCTTCCACGGGCAGCTCACGCGCGAGTGCCCGCGCAAACAATCTCCCGCGGATTTCTGCCCGCCCGCAACCCCCCCCGCAAACAATCCGCCGTAAGTGAAATGTGTCGCCTAGTTGTTGTTACGGTTGCGCCCGTGGGCGCGTTGAAATGTGTCGTTTGGTCGCGGTTGTGGTTGCGGTTGCGCCCGCGGGCAGGTTGAAATGTGTCGCTTAGTTGCGGTTGCGGTTGGGCCCGTGGGCGGGTTGCAATGTGTCGCTTGGTTGCGGTTGTGGTTGCGATTGCGCCCGCAGACGGGTTGAAACATGTGTCGTTTAGTTACGCTTGCGGTTGCGGTTGCGCCCGCGAGCGGGTTGAAATGTGTCGTTTAGTTGCGGTTGCGGTTGTTCCCGCGGGCGGGTTGAAAAGTGTGTCGTTTAGTTGCGGTTGCGGTTGCGGTTGCGCCCGCGAGCGGGTTGAATTGTGTCGTTTAGTTGCGGTTGCGGTTGCGCCCGCTGACGGATTGAAAAATGTGTCGCCTAGTTGCGGTTACGGTTGCGGTTGCGCCCGCGGGCGGGTTGAAATGTGTCGTTTATTTGCGATTGCGGTTGTGCCCGAGTGGGTTGAAATGTGTCGCTTAATTGCGATTGCGTTTGCGGTTGCGCCCGCGGGCGGGTTGAATTATGTCGCCTAGTTGCGGTTTCGGTTGCGGTTGCGCCCGCGGGCGGGTCGAAAAAAAAGGTCGCCTTGTTGCGGTTGCAGCTTCGGTTGTGCCCGAGGGTGGGTTAAAATGTGTCGTTTAGTTGTGGTTGCGGTTGCGCCCGTGGGCTGGTTAAATTGTGTCGTCTGTTTGCGGTTGCGTTTTTGGTTGCGCCCGCTGACGGATTGAAAAATGTGTCGCCTAGTTGCGGTTACGGTTGTGCCCGAGGGCAGGTTGAAATGTGCCGCCTAGTTGCAGTTGCGGTTGCGGTGTCGCCCGCGGGCGGGTTGAATTGTGTCGTTTGGTTGCGGTGGCGGTTGTTCCCGCGGTCTGGTCAAAATGTGTCGCTGAATTGCGGTTGCGATTGCGGTTGCGCCCGCGGGCGGGTTGAAATGTGTCGCTTAGTTGCGGTTGCGGTTGTGCCCGAGCGGTTTTGAATGTATTGTCAAAAGTGCCCCTCCTGCTCAGGCAGTTCAGCCCAGTTCAGTCTGGAGAGCATGGAATTTCACCCGGCTCCACGGGGGAAAAACATGATGTCGGGGTCTGGGGGGGAGGAGGAGGTGAAGAGGGAGGAGGTGGAAAAGGAGGAGGGAGAGGGAGATGTGGAGGCAAAGGGGTGCAAGCAGAAGAGGAGGAAGATGAGGAGGACGAGGGAGGAGGAGAAGCAGGAGGAGGAAGACGGGAAAGGGCGCGGGAGAAGGAGGAGGCAGGAGTTCAGCACGAGGAGGAAGAGGAGGAGCGGCGGGAACGGCAGGAGACGGTGACAAGTGAGGCCCCTGCTTCGTTCACGTCGTTGCCGTCGCCGTCGACGTCGTCGTCGTCGTCCGTCGTCGTCGTCGTCGTCGCCTCATTCCCTCCAGGACCCTTTTGTTCCCGTACGCGGCGAGCTTTCATCCCCCATCCTCCCCCGGCCTTCAATGGCGAGCGTCAAAGGGCCCCGAAGTTGGGGTTGGGGGGATGTCGGTTCGGATCGGGTCGGGTCGGATTTGGGTCGACGTCTGGACGAAATCAGGAGGAAACCTGGACGAAAGGGCGAGGAGGGACGGTCGGAGCCTGGACGTAATCCTGTCGAAATGGCGCTTACGAGAGGGCCGCGGAGGTCGACAAGAGGCTCCCGCGGATGCCCACCCAGTGGCGCGGGCGCGCCCGGCTGTGGAGGTGCGCGGCTTCGCCGGGGAGTGCAGCGCCGAGCGCGCGTACGCCGGCGGGGACCCTGAGCTGCGAGCCGCGCTGGGGCACGCGGTGCGGGTATCGACCTGTGGGCGGCGCGCCCCCGAGGGAAGAAGACGACGACGACGACGACGACGACGACGACGACGACGACGACGGCGGCGGCGACGACGGCGACGACGGCGGCGAAGGCGAAGGCGAAGGCGAAGGCGAAGGCGAAGGCGAAGGCGAAGGCGAAGAATTGGGTACGGCGGCTACGGCGGCGGTTAGAGCAACGGCGGCGGCCCCGCGCCGTCTGTTGTCCATGCCAAGCTGCGGCTCCGGCTTGGCCGGCTCGCCTGTGGTTTCGTTTTTGTGTTCCTCCTGAAGTGTTCCTGCACCTCTCCTCCCCCTCCGGCCCCTCCTCCTCCTCCGCCTCCTCCTCCTCTCCATCCCTTCTCCTGATAGATAACTCTTCTCTGTCGCACCCCGAGGCTGGTCGAATGGGCGGGCCGGGCGGTTCGCCTGAGACTTCTCACCGTTTGTGATACTGAAGTAAAAAATGGTTGCAAGGATTTCGCGGAAGAAGGGATGTCCGTCTTCAAAATGTGGATATCGCATCAACTGGCGCGGCGAACATTCATCTTGAAATTTTGCAAGGGCTTCACGGATGGAGGGCGGCCTGTTTTCAAGATGTGGTTCTCGATTTAGCGCCACGCACAATCGTTTCAAAAGTTCACAGGGGCTTCACGGATGGAGGGCGGTTTCTTTTCAAAATGTGGGTCTTGCCGTAGCGCCGCGCATATTAGTTTTTAAATGTTGCAAGGATGTCTCGGATAGATGGCGGGCAGTTTTGAAAAAAAAGTTGTTCTCGCTTTAGCGCCGCGCGAGTTCCTCTTAAAAGTTTGCAAGAGGTTCACGGATAGAGGGCGGTTTCCTTTCAAAACGTGGATTTCGCTTTAGCGCAGGCAATAGTTTCCAGTATGTGCATCGCTTACGTCACAGAAATTGTTTTTCGGCACGATGTAGGAATATCAGGGCGCAAGAGTCACGTTGATTCGCGGAGTTGAAGTGCCAGGAATGGTGTTCTGACATGCGTCAGGATCACCAACACGCAACAGTAACGCTGATTCGTGGCGTTAAAGTCCCAGGAATGTTGTTCAGGCATAATTCCGAATGTTCAAACGGTTGTCTTCCAACGGTGCATTTCCCTCAGTGAAAAAGAACCCGTGTATGGGGCTTGTGGAGAGGGACCTTGGAGGGAGGGTGGTTCGCAATGTCGTTCATGGGTCTTGGGTTTCCATTGGTCCTTCTCCTCCTCCTCCTCCTCCTCCTCCTCCTCCTCCTCCTCCTCCTCCTACCCAGGAGCGCTGTGCCTCCTTCTCCTCCTCCTCCTTTCTGGGCCTTCGCTGGGGGGGGCCTCGCCACCACGGTTGGATCCGGCTCGGTGCCTTGGACAGGGCGCGTTCCGGGGGATTTCTGGGCAAGGGGGGGGGAAGGCAGCCAAGTAGGTGGGGAAGGCGTCCGGGGTTGGCGCTTCCACCTGCTTCAGCCGGGGGCAAGTTACCATCAAATCGCGAATCTTACACGGCTTTGCGTAACCCCGCCGGCTCATCCAGAAACGATGTCCAGGCGAGTTGCCCTAATCAGGGATGTGGAGGAGCACGCAGTGGAATACAGGATTGGGAACGCCGTCATTCCGCAAGGGGGAAGAGGATGGGGGAGCAATCGGGAGGAGGGAGCAAGCAAGCAAGGACGCTTGACGTCCAGACGGCGCATCGGCACAAAGGAACCCAGACGCCCCGTGCAGCTCACACCTACGTTATGGCAGCGCTGCGTAAACGCTGGGAGCCCATTGTTGTCTGGGCCTCTAGCGTGCACGGCTCTTGACCCAGATTCGATGCAGATTCGAATTGGCTTTGCACGTGAGCTTGGGCAGCGGGTGCTCCTCAGGAATAGCGGCGATTCCGTTGAAGAGTTTCTTGTGGCGTTCGAGCAAGTCTTCACTCAGATCATGCCCTCCAGTCTGAACTAAAACGCTGCGGTTCGGAACTCCTGAGACATCCGCGCACGGAATGCGACAAGTGTTTCTCAGACCTTGCGCATGACAAGAATTTAGTTTGTCCTTATCGGCGTGGAGGGCCCAAACATAATCTGGTTGTGCAACGGCTTCGGCACTACAATGGATCGATACAAGTTTTGTTTCTCGCCATTGGTACGTGTGCGTGTGACCAGCATTGTTAAGAGATTTGAAAACTCCCCTGGCCTCCCCCAGTCTTGGGGTGAACTCTAGCTTCGTAATGCAGCCTGTGTTGAGGAGATGTCCCAAGTACATTGCCTGCTCCACAGCTGCCAAAATATTCCCAGAAGGGTCCCAGAGGGGAGTCACTTTTTCAAACCCGCATGAGGAAAGTCGTTTTCCAGTTCAGCTAGAGCCCATACCGCTTCCCCTCATCGATGACCGCATCGAGCAGGATCTGACGTTTGTCATCTCAGCTGCTGGCGAGCACCGTGCCGTCGGCATACAGTAAATGAGAACACTGGATGACATTTGGCTCCCGTACTGTCGGGCGTGCGCCTTCTATGCGCACATTATCGTCAAAGAGCAAAACGCTTTGAACTATTATGGAAAGATACTGTGGCAGTGGGCAACCATGCGCGATGCCGGAACACTGTCGGCGCAGGCTTGCATCCACAGCGGGGTCTTGAAGAATGAATTTCCGTTCTCGGTAGATCCTGGCAATCATATCCACAATGCGGTCGGGTAGTCCGAACGTTCCCGGTGCGCGCAGCAAGGCGTCGGTGCTTGATTCTGTCGAAGGCCTTCGCCCAGTCCAGCAGAATCCGCCTCGAGCCCAGGGACCTTCGTGGCATGGGCCGCCTCGAGCATGCGCCGTGCAACAGAGATCGCCTGCACGGTGCCCCTTTTTGGTCTAAATCGGATTTGGGTCGGTCTCACGTTGCCTTGGGCGCCGCCTTGTTGCAGTCGACGTTGAATCATCCACGCGATGTTCTTTTACGTATCCCACGGGACGTATGGATATCGGTCGGTAATTCTCTGGGAGGTTGTTGTCCCCCATCTTGAACAGCAGCGCCACGCGTGCAGTTCTTCACTCCGCCAGTACGCCTTCATCCCCCCAACATCTCTGGCAGTATTGCAGCAAGTTTCCCATTTCCTCCGGGAACCCCAACAGCACCTTCCATATCCCCGGCTGGACTTTGTCTATCCCAGATGTTTTTGCGGCGGTAAAAGCTCGCAGGGCCACCGTGAGCTCGACTATGCAGAACGGAGAGGTGACAATCGGCAAGGTAGTGCCCATCTTGTGGATTCCAGTAGACACGAGGTCAGGATGCGCGAGGTTCCATTGCAATTGTTCGAAATAGTCTGCCAGTGTGTCTGCCCGCAGGCTCTTCTCCGATGCCCTGCAGCGTGGAGTATTTGCAGCGGCCTTTTTCGGAGGCTCCTTGCAGAGTCCACGCACTGTTTTTTTCTCGGCGAGGACCACCGCGGAGCCTTTTGGACCGTCTTGTGAAAAAATACGCGCGCAAAACCAAAACACGCACGGGGAATGGACGCCCGAGCGACGGCGAGTTTCTTCATAGAAGCTCTGATGCGCTTCGTCTGGGTTATCTCCTTCTCTGGGCTGCCAGCAGCTCTGACTTGATCTCGCTCAGACTTCTATGGGCTGCCAGCAGCGTCGTTTGGTCTATCTATAGCCTCCGGTGTTTCACCGCAGATGTGTTCAACAATTCCTCCAAATGCAGACTGAATGGATGCGCGAATGGTTCTGGCATGCTGATCCAATGGCAAAGTACACGCCAGAGCCCCCACTGCATTGCAAAAGCCTTGCTGGTAGTCTTGCTCGGCGTCGTTGTCAGGAATCCGCATCTGCGCTAGGCTGCGAAGGGGCATCGGGGTTGCGAAGGGGCATCGGGTTTGCGAAGGATGAGCGGGGAGGAGGAGAAGGAGGAGAAGGAGGAGGAATGGGCGGATGAGGAAGAGGAGGAGGAGGAAGAGGAAGAGAAGGAGGAGGAGGAGGAGGAGGAGGAGGAGGAGGAGGAGGAGGGTTTCTTAGGGTCATCTTGGGGCGTCTTGGAGGCCACTTGCCGGTCACGGGGGCCTCCTGGAGCGTTTTGGGTACCTCCAGGAAGCCTCTAGGGGCCATTTGGGGGTCTCTTGGGGGCTTCTTGGAGGCCCTTTGGTGGCCTCTTGAGGTCTCCTGGACGCCTCTTGGGACACTCTTGGAAGATGGATGGGTTTCAAATATTGAACAGCGGTTCAAATTGCCGGACCCGTGTTCATTACTTCACGGAATAACAGACCCAGTATCCCCAGGTAGTAATGGACCATGCTCGTCGTTCCCAGGTATAAAGGACCCCTGCTCGTTACCCCCAGGGAATAACTGCTTATTATCCCCTATGTAATAGACGGACCTCTGACCATTATTCCCAGGGAGTGGCAGACCATTTTCGATTATTTTCATGGAATAAGTGAGCCGCTTGTCCAGTAGTCCTAAGGAAAAACGAACCCATGTCCACTAGCCATTGAGATTCATCACTCTTTGGGAACAATTTGCCTTTTGTCCATCATTCGCAGGGCAAATTAGCGCACGGTGCGCCCACGAGGCGCACACCAGGCGAAAACCTGGGGAACCCACCCAACTATTTAACGGAGAAGCACGGGCCCCATAGCGCAAGCACTGTTTGGGGCCAAAGATCTTCCACCTACGTAGCTGTTGGAGGTGCCCAGCTTCCAGAGTATTAGCCGAATTTGAGAAACCTGGATGGAGGAGGGAGAGGAATGGGATGGAGCAGCAGCAGCAGCAGTTGCATCAGTAGCAAGGCGAGGAGGGGCGCACCCATGCGAGCGGGAACCCGACTCAGGCGAACTGGCCCGAAGGCGCATCCCGGCGCAGCCACAGCTGAAGCCGAGGCCAAAGTTGGAGCGCACAGAGAATCGGAAGGGGCAATAAGGGCGAGGAGAAGGGCAGGGGACGAACAGGAGCGCAGGACGAGAGGGTGCAGGAGGCGAAGCAGGGGGAGAGGCCATCCCCCACCCCTTCTCGCTCCCCCTCCTCTCGCCGCTCCTCTCTAGGATTAAGTCGGGCATGTCCCTCTACAGGAGGAATATGCAAGAATAGTCAAAAATTAGTCTGGGGACGAGGTGTTGACTATGTTTGCCTATATTGAGTATGTAAGTATTCTCCATTTGTCCTCCACAGTCTGCCAGTAGGAAGACATGCCCGACCGAACTCTGAAGGTTTCAAGGTTTCTTGTGGTCTAGCCCCTACTGCAGGAGAAGGAGAAGAGCAGGAGGATGAGGAGGACCTCCACCTTGGGCCTCGGACGACTCTCCAACGCCAGCGCCCTGCCAGTTGGTTCATCTCCGCGGGCGCCGCCATCTGCCACTCAGTCAACAAGGCCAGCCAGGAGGAGGAGGACTACGTGGACGACGACAAGGAGGGGACGACGACGAAGACGATGACGACGAAAAGCAACGACGGCGGCGACGGCCACCATCTGCCATGCCGCCCACGAGACTGACCGGGACACGGAGGAGGACGACGACGACCTCTCCCCTCCCCGCGCCCCCCGCCCCCTCCATTCCCCCCCCCTGCCTCCCCGCCTCGCTTCGACCTGCGACATGACTCCGCTCTTCCCTGGCACCCCCGCGGCGGCAGCGCTGCGCGTACAGTCGAGGCTGATCAGTAGGTCGACCATGGCAAATTCGGTCTACCCTTGTGCCATGTGCCTCGCGACCCACGCTTCTACATTCATATGGCAATGTGGCCCTGGGAAGAGTCTCGTGCCCTCGCGCGTGCCCTCTTCAGTCCACCCCGACTGTACCTGGGCCCAGGAGGGGCTCTGGCCTTCGGGTCGCTGTTCGTGGCCGCGGCCCGCCGTGGCCAGGAGAGCTCCTTCGCCCCCCTGCCCCTGCCCAGCGCTCCCTCTGGCTGCACGACGACGACGACGACGACGACGACGACGACGACGACGACGACGAAGTGGCTCCCCCGAGGAGCGGAGCAGAGAGGGTGGCGGGCGGAGGGTCGCCCTGGGGGGCGGAGCCCTTGTGGGTAAGCAGCACGGTGCGCTGCGCAGCCCCCGCCACGGTCGAGCCGCACCACAGGCAGGATGGGCAGCCTCCCCAAGGGTACCCCTGCCTCCTTGCCTCCTCGGCCCACCCGGGGCTGCTCTCCTTGGCCGCGCCCCGCTCGAAGCACTTCGACATGGGCGCCCGAGGCCCTTGCATCCTTCACCGCGCATCCTTCTGACCCGGGCCGACTACACACGTGGCCGTGGAGAGCCGGCCGCCCCCTCCGAGCCGCGGGCCTCCCTCCCGCCCTCCGCGGGCCGGCCCTCCGCCGCGGGCCCGCGCCGGGGGCCTCCGCCGCGCGGGCCGCGCGTCGGCTCCGCGGCTCTCCTGGGAGGGGCGGGCCTCGCTCGGGACCGGCGGCCGCTCTGCCCGGCGCCCGCGGGCCGCCATCCTCCGACACACTGGGGGGCACGCTCTCCCGAGCTCTGCGCTCTCGTCTCCCCCATCCCGCCCGCCCTGCCTCTCGTCCCCCCTCCCGTCCCGTCTCTGGCCTCCCCTTTCCTCCCCCCCCCACTCCCCTGCGGCAGCTGTCCGCTCCACCTGGCAGTCTTCAATCCTCCTCCTCGGTCTTCCTCTACCTTCCCTCAGCCCTCCCTCCTCTCTGCTGGTTGCTGATATGAACCTAACTCCATGAGCTGGATTGGGATTCGGAGGCCCTCCTCTATCCTCCCTCTGTGTGTGTGTCTCTCTCTCTCTCTCTCTCCCTCCATCTCCCTCTCTCTCTCCCTCCCTCTCTCTCCCTCTCGCTCTCTCTCTCTCTCTCTCTCTCTTTTTCACACTCTCTCTCTCCTCATCCTCCTCCCTCGGTATCCTCCCTCGGTCGGCTCTTGGCTCGGGCTCGCCCCGCAGGGTCGTCCCGCCTACCCGCGGCGCTGATGCTGCCGACATCTGGTACCCGCGTAGCTTCAAGTCGGTCATTTCCCTCGCACAGGAGGAATACGTATTCAAAAATAGTCAAACACTGTCTGGGGATGATGTTTTAATCCTATGTGATGTGTAAAGATGTTTGATGATGCTTTATGTGTCATCTAAAATCCGCCTTCAGGAGGACATGCCAGGACATGCCCGACCTAAGCGTAGCTGCGCCCCTCGGAAGCCGCGCCGCGGCGCGGTCCCGGAGGTGCACGTAGTAGCCAGGCCCACCAGCATCGCGGAGCTGCGCGAGACGTCACGCCTACTTTTAAGTCGGGCATGCCCCCCTACAAGCGGATTGTGGAAACAAAATTCAAAAATAAGCGAAAACATCGAAATAGTCGAAGAATCGTCCCTGTTATATTCTTCTAGGGACATGTTACGAATATTCTTCCTGTTTGACTAGTTGCGACGATTCTTCCTGTTATAGGGATATGCCCGACTTCAGCCCACTTCGCGCGGCCGAGGGCTTGCTGCGCAAGGCGGCCGCCGTGCAGGCGGTGCCGCCCGCCCAAGGACCTCCCTTTCTAGACCCAACGCCTGTGTGCAGTTTTTGCAGTGTGATGCCAGCACGGCCCTCCCCTGCGGCCTCTGAGGCGAGTGGCGGGGGAAGTGGAGAAGCGCTGCTGCAATCCCGCCCATGCCGCCTGCGCTGAACTGTGGGAGCAGCTGCCTGGCCAGAAACTGGTTGCATCACTAGCTTGACTGGATGCTCGAAGGCTGCGTGCGGACAACTCCTGCCCCCGTCGCCCGCGCCAGCGCCCTCCGCGGACCCTCGGCGGCGGCGCCGCCCGCGAGGGGGAGGCGGGCGAGCAGGTGCGGGAGCGGCGCCGACGGCAGCGACGAGACAAGGAGGGGGCGGTTGGGCAGGTTGTGGAGGGCGCCGCAGCACCGCCGGGGCCGCTGCTGGACGACGAGGGGGCTGACGAGCTGCCACTGAGGTGCGGCGGCCGCGCGGCCTTCCAGAGAGACGAGATGGAGCACGGAGGCGGGGGCGAAGGCGCCATGGCTCCCTGGCGCTCCATCCCGGCGGATACATTGTAGAGATTCCACGGAGGAGGTGGCACACGAGACCTCTTGCCGACGGGCCATCGTGGAGAAGCACGGCTGCCCGCGCGAGGCCGCTGTGAGTCTGCAGCACGCGCGGGACGAGAGCGCAGGTCACCCAGCAGGAGGTGCAGAACGGCGGCCCGGCCAGAGCACGACCTGGCAGAAGTTGATTCCGCTCCAGGATCATGACTGACCTGGGTGAACCTGTCGCGGGGCGGCCCCCGCAGCGCCGGTTGGCAAGGCTTCAGCCACAGCAGCTGCCCGTGCCCTCAAGGGCGGCCCCGGTGGCCGTGAGCGGAGCGGGGCGTGTGCTGGCGCGGCGCGGAGTTGTCGCTGCTCAGTTCTGGCTGGGAAAAAACAGCAAGCAAGCAAGCAAACATGCGCACGAAGCTCTGGCCCGCGTTCCGTGCCCTCGTCCTCCTCCGCTCTGCCTATCCCCTCTGCTGTGCATGGCCTCGGCGGCGCGCTTTCGCGAGACAACCTCAGGACCATCAGGCTTGCTCTGGTCGTGGTGGGTACGAGCCTCGAAGGGTTCCGCGCCCTCTCAGCCAGGAGAACAAGCCCCGGGAAGCATTGCGATCGAAGCTTGCGGGGTGCCCCACACTCCCCCCGCGCTCGAAAGAAATTCCTCACCCCACCCCCTGCTTCACACGTCCTCGGCGGCGCGCTTCCGCGAGGCAGTCCAAGAACCATCAGGCTGACCTCGAGCCGTGGTTTGAACGTGGCCTCCTTGCGGCAGAAGGCCCTATGAGCCCTGAGCGGGTTCATGCACAGCCGCGATGCGGGGCCCACGATGGGCCGCCGATATCGGGGGGGGGCCGTGCTCCCTCACCAAGCGTCAGAAGAAATATGCGTATACGCATACACGTTCTCTCTCTCACTCTCTCTCTCTCTCTCTCTCGCTCTTTCTCTCTCTCTCTCTCTCTCTCTCTCTCTCTGTCTATGTATATATACACATATATATACACATATATATATATATATATACACATTCCTATTCACATATCTTGATTGGGCCAGGGACGCCAGAAAAAGCGCCCCCCATAACGAAAGTGGCCAGGCAACTCTTCAGACGACCTGGAAGAACCTCACGAGAGCCCCAAGACGGCCCCAGACGGGTTCCAGGCGTTCCGGCGCGCTCCCGAAACGACCCCAGAGAGCCCCAATACGGTCCACGACGAAGCCGTCATACCCCCAATGATCGCTCCAAAACATCCCAAGAGGCCTCCAAGAGCACTCCCAAGAAGGCTCCACGAGGCAAACATCACTGATTTCCTGTAGGTTTTTGGTGAATTTGGGGGTTCTCCTCTTTTCGGCTTCCCGACGCTCCAAGACGGCGGTCTTCTGGGCGTCCGAAGCCGCTTGGGAGGCTCCAAATCGCCCCACAACCATCCGAAAGGGCTTCCAGACAGTCCAAGAGAGCCCCAAAATGATACAACAGGGGTCCAAGATGGCCCTCCAAGAGCCCAATGGCGGCCCCCAAGACACCCTAAATCGTGACCCAGTCGTTCAGGGAGACCGCGGTTGGAGGCAGGGTGGCCCGAGGAACCCCCCAGAGGCCCCCAGAACACGCCCAGGACGCCTCCAGAAGGCTTTAAGAAAGCCAGAAAAACTTGCGTGAGGCCCCCAGAGGCTCTCCAAGGAGGAGCTTACGCGAAAAGAGCTGAGGAGGATGGGGAGAAGGCGCAGGGTATGGCGAGAATGAGGAAAAAGACGGGTGGAGGAAGAAGAACGTATAACATTACTATAACGGCGATGCCGAAAAAGGCAACAAGGAGCTATCGCTAAAGTGCCATTCCGCCTGCATACCAAACTTCAAGGACCAAGGTGCATGGCGCGAAGTGCCACTGCAGTCTTGCACATATATATATATATATATATATATATATATATATTGATTCACATATAGAGAGACAGAGAGAGAGAGAGAGAGAACGCCGGCGGCACATCACCGGCCGCTCCCTGTGAGTTTGACGCAGCGTGTCGGGAGGTTCTTGGAAGCAGTTTTGAAGCCTCTTGGAGGTCCCTTGGGGGCCTCGTGGGGGCTTCTTGCGGGCTTGCTGGCGGTCTCGGAGGTCCCTTTGGGGCGGAAAACTGGAAATGCAATTTCGAGTTCCGCGTCTTGGTCCCCTCTTGAGGCCTTCTTGAGGTGGTCTAGTTCGCCTCTTGGGCGGTTTTGGGGGCGTGCAGGGCTGTCGTGGACGCTCTGAAGCCTCAAAAGCTGCAAATGTTAGAAATGTACGTCTTCGTCCGGGAAAGAGACGACGTTTGCCTCTTGGGGCCAGCTTGGAAAGAGCTCTTGAAGCCCTATGTGGGCGTCTTAAAGACACTGTGGCCATCTTGCGGCCTTTCCGGGCGTCTT